AGACTGCAAAGTTAAAGAGAGAGAGTGAGAGAGAAATACTTCTTGAGATGGGCTCTAAAGTCGGATAGAAGAAGTAGGAGGAAAAAAGCGAGGAAGAAAGAGAGAGAGAGAGAGAGAGAGAGACGATCCATGCCTCTTATGAAATATATCGTAAAGACTGAGTGAGTGAGTAAGAAAAAGAAAGGGAGAGAGAGAGAGAAAACGAAGAAGAGAAAAAGGGGAGGTTAAGCCTGTAATCACGAGATTGCCAGAAGCTACTGCAGCTGATTGTTATCTTGTATCTACACCCACCACTTTATCGCCGGCCATCTTATTACCCTCGACATATTGACGTCACGCACGTATACGAACGAAGAATTCCCTCCTAACATCTTCTATCTCTCTCTCTTTCTCTCTCTTTCTCTCTTTTTCTTTCTTCGTAGGAAAGAACAGCAGCAACAGCAGCAGCATCAACAGCAGCAGCAGCATCATCGGACGTTCCTTACAACGATCGTAAAAGCTGACCGCCGTCGGCCATCGAGATGCACCCTTTCTTGGACATCTTCTCCCTTACTCTACCTCCTTTTCCCTTCTCTTCACCATGTGATCCCCACGTCATCGCCCGATTATCATTATTCGTGATTACTCCTGTTGTTGCCGGTAGCGTCAAAGAGAAAAGACGTTCAATTGCTCTACAATAAATTTCTATGTATTTAAACGCGTATTCGTTTTCGTTAAAGTTAACCAAGGTAAAGAGTTAAAGTCCAAAGGGTTAACATGTTGCATTAGGCAAAAGCATCATACATTTCCATCGCGAACCGAATGTCGTCAAAGTTTCTCGCGAACCTAGAACCTAGGATACCGAGGGTTTCGAATAGTTTCGTGCTTTAGGCTGGCGTAAACCACGAGAGAAAGATAGATAGATAGGTAGAGAGAGAGAGAGAGAAATGGCGGTCGATTTCAAACGCAAATTTGGCTAAGGCCTGAGGTTTCTCACCCGTGAATCCCATAGTGAGTTTCGTTCTTCTATCTGTCCTTCTCTTATTCAATGGATAGTGGTTCGCAAAGTTAGCTTCAGATAACTAAGCTTGAACTGGACTCTCTCTCTATCTATTTCTGTCTCTCTCTCTCTTTCTCCTCAGTTGCTATAATTTAATTTAAGTCTAGCCTAAACTATTCTCCTCGCTTTTTCGATCTAAAAAACACAGATATATAGTATTTTTATAATAAAAGAAGTTTAATTCGTATAAAAAAATTGTTTTTATTTTCGATCCTCAAGAATAGATGTCATCTTCTTGTGCCGCACCTAGCGATCGAATTGTACAGGATTTGCCGTTCGCGATCTTAGAAATTCGGCTCACGGAGCTTCCGGCAGTAAATAAAGCATTGTCCTCCATACCTCCGCTTCCTCAGTTCACTACTACTACTAATACTGTCATTCTTTCACCATATTCGTTCGTTGACATATTCCTTTACTACGATCTTTGCATCTTTTCAAATAAACCTTCGTATTTACACATGTACGCCAGTCGATTGATTTTCTTTGCGAAAGACACTAACGTGTCGCTATGCGCAAACGTTTTAAATATCTTCCATTACGCTTTCTTGTTGTTTTTTTTTTTCTATAAATACAACAACTAATACTTTAAAAAATGACGTTGAAAAATATAATGGAACGTGAACGTTGAAAATAATTATTCCGATCGATGCTTGAGATGAATTTTAAAATAAGAGAGACTCTAAATCCAAATTTATTATCCAGCAAGGAGCAACTGTTTATCATCGATCGTAACGAAAGAGTACAGTATGTTGTCGTTGGATGGCAGCACACTGTTCTAGGACTTCCCCCACCAATGAAAGAAAAAATATAATTGTAAGATGGGGAATCATTGAAGCAAGTTTTACCCCCTTTTTACTCAACCCGAGCCGCATGATGCTGCCATCTGAGCAAGACATTTTCCAACTGAATTCTTCTCTCTTTCTCTACCTCCTTCTACTACTATTAAAAGACACAACCCTCTCCCCCCCCCCTCCGCCCCACTACTCTTCGCTTTATCTTCTCTATCATTTCCGCTCTTCTTTATTTTTCTCCCTCATTTTTCTGCTTCTATACTATCAAGTTCGCGGGTAGTATATACTTCTACCGATAGGGAAAAAGCCATAGTGTACCATAAAATCCTTCATAGCGTATTTTGTATTAAAATATTAAAATATTCATTCCCGGACATAAAAGCGGTCAAATTACGTCTGTTAGCATTCCCCATCCGCTTCATTTCTTTCTCCATTCTTTTTTTTACAGTCTCCGGACCTACGATACGTTTCGAATTTTTTATCATATGTTTCTACTTTTGGTTCAGGGTCGTAGACTTAGCGTTCAAGGTAACATCAAAAGTTTCTAATGTTTTCCACAAATGTTTTCACATTTCCTGGGGACTCCATATGATAGTGGAATCGAGAGAAACAAGTTGTAGCCATGTTGTATTATCCCCTTTAGAACAAAACTGGTAGAGGGGCGCCTAAATTATGCGCGCAAACGTTCAGGTAGTAAAAGTGTTTCCTGTAGGCTCATAGAAATTGTGAACCGTTGCGAGTTTCAACCCTTGCCTCCCTTTCTCGGCTAGACAAACCAAGAAGAAATTTCTACCTACTACCTGTTAGATCCTAAATAAATATTTCTTAAAATCATCTCCGATCCAATTCGACTCAATGAAGGCAAAAATTAAGTTTGAATTAGGTACTTGATAAGTGACAAAAGAGATGTCGATGATACTTTTGCTTTTTTAAAACTGATGCAAAAGCATCGTTTCAATTCTCTCCTCTTTTTTCCTCCGTGTATTTTTTCTTTTTTTTATAGAGGAAGTTAGAAGTCGTTTTACGGCTCGAGAAAGTACCGAAATATTGAGATAAAGTGGACGATTTCGTTGGAAGTAAAGTACTGTGGCAAAACCGATTAGATGTAGGAAATGTAAGGACTTTATCGCTGCGATAAACAATTCTAAGTTTCGACACAAGACGGGAATAAAGATTCGAAAGTGTTATCTGGTTAATCGGCCGTTAATCGTGCGTTAATCGTTCGCTTCTTTATTGCGTTGGTATTGCTCGAAACGATTGCGTTTCCAGTACTTTATCTCCATGTACTTGTTCACGCGCGCGTGCGCAACGTCAAAAACGTTATCGGTCTAGTTTATATCGTGCGAGTTAAAGCGTCGAATGCTCGAGTCAAACGTCTTCAGCATTTTAAGTAGAGCCATTCATAATCCGTCAGCTTTGGCCGATACATATGTAAAGACGATTCTATTATTGCTTCTTATTTATGATTTCCTACTATTCCAATGACATTTATGGCAGCAAGCCACGCGGTCAACTGTAACAAACGCGAATTCATGTCCTCGTGCCTTGCTTCTATCGGTAGCTCATATGTCAACGTGAAAAAAAAAGAAAGAAAAATGCGACCGAGGAGAACTACTTGTATTCATTTCTTTACCCGTATCTTTTCTTTTTCTATCTTTGTTTTTATCTCTCTCTCTCTTTCCTGTTAGCAAAGTTTTCAAATCTTTTCGATCCTTCATAGAGTAGAATGCTTTTCACGCGTAACTCGCACGAAGGAAAGGCAGAAGCCTCGTGACCTAGTAACGTAACGCCAACTGTTGCATTCCAAGAAGGAAGAACGAGCTGTTTCGCGGACGTCTTTGGATAGTCGCTAAAAACGATAAGAAAAGAAAAAATATTAGCAAAGATCGACTTTGTCTCGTTGTAGAACACACAGGTGCGAAGATAGGAAAGCCAGCTGGGTGGCTGTGGTGTGGTGTATGAAAGGGGCGCCTGCCGGGGCGAATTGGGGGAGGGGGGATGAGGGAGAGAACGCGGCGCACGATGATCTAACTCACCCCTCTTCAGGGGTCGCTGGCACGTACTGCATAATGCTGCTACCTGTGGCTCTCATTTAAATGTACTAAACCTCGCTTGCTGTCCTCCCCCTTTCCTTTTTATCTCTCTCTCTCACTCTCTCTCTTTTCCCTTTCTTCGCTATTTGTCTTTCTCTCCCTCTCTCTCATCAGTCGGTTCGCGGCTGCACCGACGAAACATGATTTTTTATTTTGTCGTTCCTATTGATACCACCTTCTCTCAGCCAAACGACCACCTTAGGGGTACAACTGGTCCATTTTTCTCCGGGTAATTAATCACTCCGAATGAATACCTGTTGTGTAACGCCGGAATCGATGATACAAGCTAGAAAAATCTCGATATTGATAAGATGGATTTAATAGCTGTAAACACACAAACACACACACACACATATATATATATATATATATATATATATATATAGGTATACCTGTTGCATTGTGGTTTAAGAATCGAAAGAAAAATCGGAAAAAATGCGTACGAGTTGTGACATATTGCTTGAAAGTTAGAGACGGGCCTCTTCGCGGATAATTACTTGGGGATTAAATTAGTACCTGTTGCTTGGTAGGATTTCTGCGAGAATCGTTGTTGGTAAGAAGAAGAGGATACTCATGGGTTAGTCTATCTAAAGGTAAAAAAAAAAAAAAAAGAAAAAGAAAAAGAAAAAACAAAAAGAAAAGAAAAGTGCGGAAAAGATGTGACCGAGGAAAATAAAGGAGCACGTAGTACTTCTGGAAGGAATAAAGAGGAAAGAGAAGCTCCTGGACGTGTGGAGTCTTCTTTGCTGCCGGCAGGAGCAACGGCGCGCGAAGAAGTTCGGTCGGTCCTGTAGTAGCTCGAAGAGAGGTAAAAGCAGAGAGAGAGAAAGAGAGAGAAAGAAAGAGAGAAAGAGAGAGAGACCCATAGACTGTGAAGGTGGGTGGAAGGGAAAAAGGACTGGCGCCTAGGGTGCCTCGCCTGTTCTGTAGGCGCGGTCAGATTAGGTGCCGCCTGACAGTGACGTACGTCGACGGCCACCTTGCCAGCTGAACCAATCGTATGAGAGAACGTAGAAAAGAGTGGGGAATGGCAGAACGGTGGCGCGCATGACGAACCTCTACCAACCGCTCCGGGAGCCTCGGGAACCTCGGGCGAGCTACGAGGCGAGGCAGTCAGTCGCTCTCAGCTACGACATGCATAACGCATGAGAGAGCCCGAGCGAGATCTTTCTACGACCCGTTCTCTCCTTACCACGCACTCTTTCTCTCTCACTCTCTCTCTCTCTCTCACTCACTCTCTCATTCTCTCTCATTTTCTCTCTCACTCTCTCTCTCTCTCTCTCTCTTTCCTTCGTTACTACTCGTTGTTACTACTACGACACATTCTCACACATACGACACTCCTCGACCAACAACAACAACGTAAACGTTCCTTGGCGTTGGCTATATCACACGTATCCACTCTTTCTCCCGCAACTCCCACATACGACTCCAAAGACGACGAGGGTGACGACGAGGGTGACAACGATAGCGATTACGACGACGACGACGACGACGACGACGACGACAACGACGACGACAACAACGACGACGAGGACGACTACGACACAGTTCGAAACGCGCGAGAGTGCGATCGGCAGCGAGAGCGAGGAGAGAGTCGCGTTTCGTCTCTACGATTCCGCAAGTCTTCGAGAGTGTGTCAACGTTTGCTAAGTCCTCCTCGCTCAACATCGACAGTGATTATAATAAATACCTATTTTTATTCATTTCGTTTAGTTTTACGCGAGTTCGAATACGAAACATGAGTGATATCGGCTGATTTCGGGATTACTCTCGCGAGTGTTGTCACCTTTGTAAAAGGTAACTTGTGTTGTCTGCAATAACGTGTGACAAAATAGAAAACAAATTAGCTGGGAGATACTGTTTTCGACGGGCGGAGTAACGAGTACGCTCGGAATAATGCGGCTCGATCGGGATTTATTACGTTTTCGCGAACGGTGGACCGGTGCGAGCGGTCGTTAATAGGCTCCGATATTAAAAAGGATTACGTTTCGGTAACATATTCTGAAGAAACTTTAATCGTTTTTATCGTTGGAGGAGAGGAGGGTGTGTGGGAGAGAGAGAGAGTGAGATAAAAAATTGTAGATCTAAAGGTGTGCTCGCAAAATTAGCCGGTAAGTAAAGATAAAACCGGCAGCGAGCAACTAAAAAGACCTCTCGACGAGGGGAAGTAGATGGCCGCTACCACGTACATGCCGGTTAGTAGCGCAGTGTCGGCCGAGCTGGATGGTGGTTCGGGTACAACAATCGGGATGAACATCGCCGTGGGTGGCTATTCCTCGGGCTCGCCCCGCAGCGCCGCCGACGCCGGCGAAATGAAATATATGCCGGCGCCGCAGCATCATCATCATCACCACCATCATCATCAGGTGACCTCGTCGCCGTCGCCAAATGGACTTTCGCATCCGGCGGCGAGCCTCTCCTCGGCTAACCCATGGGTCAGTTTGCAACCTGGTAGCGATCCCTGGGCAGCATCTATGGGGATGCATCACACGAGTCATCATCCTCATCATCATCCCCATCAGGCTAATACGAGTTTAGATGTGAAACCTTTAACGGCCGCTGCCGCGGCGGCGAACGCCGATCAAGGCATGCACCATCGCGGACCTCATCAATCCCCTGGTATGGCGTCGCCGCATTCCTGGCACGCGCCAGTTGTACCCTCGGCACATTACAATCCGAGCGGTGGTGCGGCTTCGCCTACGACCCTGCAACAATACCATGCGGCGATGAACGGCATGCTACATCAACATCCTCACCAGCATCCCCATCAGTTGCACAATCACCAGGCCGGCCTTCCTCATCATCTCAGGGACGCCCACAATCACAGTCCACCGACAGGTCATCCACTTCATCCTGGACATCCTCTTGATAGGGATCACAGTGCTGGGGAGGAAGATACGCCGACTTCCGATGATCTCGAGGCGTTTGCGAAACAATTCAAACAGAGACGCATTAAGCTCGGCTTTACACAAGCGGACGTTGGTCTTGCACTCGGTACCCTTTACGGAAACGTATTTTCGCAAACGACGATATGCAGGTTCGAGGCGTTGCAGCTAAGCTTCAAAAACATGTGTAAACTAAAGCCCCTATTACAAAAATGGCTCGAAGAAGCGGATTCAACGACGGGCTCGCCAACGAGCATTGACAAGATTGCGGCACAAGGTAGAAAGCGAAAGAAGAGAACGTCGATCGAGGTTTCGGTGAAGGGTGCTTTAGAGCAACACTTTCACAAACAACCAAAACCCTCGGCTCAAGAGATCACAACGTTGGCCGATAGTCTGCAATTAGAAAAGGAAGTAGTAAGGGTGTGGTTCTGTAACCGACGGCAAAAGGAAAAGAGGATGACACCGCCGAACACGCTTGGCGACGGCATCATGGAAGGCATGCCGCCGGGTCATCAGGGACAAGGTGGCCTCCACCAGGGCTATCATCCGCAGGATCACCTCCATGGCTCGCCCATGGGCCATAGCCACAGTCCCCCGATGCTAAGTCCTCAAGGTCTCACGGCCCACTCGTTGGCGGCTCACTAGCGTTCGCCGGGGCCTCCCCCGTTGGGCCTCGCATTAACTTCTCAAAACGCACCGAATTCCTCCGTGTCCTCGTCTGCGCCACCGCCTCCGCCGCCACCAACGGCGGAAAGTCTGCCGCACTTTTACCAACACTATTTGCAAACTCGTACCGGTTATGCCGGTAGCTCGTAGCTCTAGGCGGTCGGTCTATGCGAATATACACGAATTCAAGGAGGAAGAAAGTACGAAGAAACAATAAGAAAACATAAAAAACGGGATACACCAATCGTAGATGAACTTTATTCGATAATGAGGTTCAACGGGGCCTAACGAGGCTGGACTCATGGCCCGTACACACCGGGGAGGCTGACGAGCTCGATGTTCGATGCTGCTCTGTTATTATTGCTCTCGCTCTTTTAATATCGTTCCTTTAATTTCATTCTCTCTATCTATTTCTCTCTCTCTCTCTTTCCCTCCTTCCCTCTCTGTCGTCTCGTACGACAAGAGGACTCACAGATGATATAAGAGAATAAGAGAGATGAATATAAAGGACGATCAACGTCGTTCACCGTCGCTGAAAATAAGCCGAGGAAACGTTATACGATCTATTAGAAACATGGACTTGTGGAAACGTCGCTCGTTCGTCCATTGTTCGACGAGTGTCGTTTGTGTTAAACTCTTTCTCTTTCTCTCTTTTCTCTCTCTTTCTCTCTAAATACTTATTACAGTGCGCGTTCCGAAGAAAGACTATTTGGTGAAGAAGAGTATTGGACCGAAAAAAAGATTTAGTGAATATGAGAAAGAGAGGGAATGCATGATAAAATGAGCGAATGAGCAACAACAACAACAACAATCAACAATAAAAAAAAAAAAAACAAATAAGAAATCAAATGAAATCAAAATGAAAAAGAGAAAGAGAAAATGAGGGACAAAACGCAACGAACATACATACGTAGGATAGTGCTGTGTTCGTTTGGGATTTAGCGCGAAATGCTGCGACTCCCGACGAATGATGTAACATAAGTAAATATGGACTGTAAATAATGTACTAGATAAAAAGAGCTAGTAAGTTAAGTGAAAACATTTGCCGTTGGCGTCGTCATCATCGTTGACACCGTTGCCGGCGTCTCTCATCGTCATTGTCATCAATGCTGCCGTCGCAGCTGCCATCGCCACCGACACTGTCATCGCCTTCTTAAAACAAACAAAAAAAAAAAAAAAGAAAAAAAACAAAGTATGGCATGGACTAACGACATGGAAAGATTGGGAAAAAGAAGAAAAGGAAGACAAAGCAGAGTGTAAAAGGAAAGATGCGGATTGAAACAAGGGCGCACGCGTCGTCTTTTAAGTCGTCGTCAACTTTATCGTCATCGTCATCGTCATCGTCCTTGCGGGGATACGCGAGCCGCACGTGTGCGAATTTCAACCAGACAGATCCCCATCAAACGAAAAAATTACCCTTCTGTATAAAGAGTAAGTATATATATATATGAGATATAATAATTATATAAGTAAACGAATTTAAATAGTATTTGTACACATACGTGTGTAATGACAAAAAAATGTATACATATATATATATATAAATATTAGATAGGTGCAAAATTAATTGTGGTTTTTGTTATTTAAAATTAGAAACAGGATTTTTTAGTTATCTTTCGTCATGTTATGCCCCATGGGAAAAGGTCTAATTGGAACTACTGATGTTTGCTTACATTATTGTTTTCATTTAATAGTAATGTTGAATTTAAATACTTCAATTAATCATATATATATATGAGTTTACATTCGAACATTAAGAAACAGAAACTCCTTGAAATATAAACCTTGTTTTTGGTTGTGTAGACAATTAGCTAACTTACAACTCAATATTCGTTTGAAAAATTTCGTGACGAAAGCGAAAGCTTGAAGATAAAAAGGGTTATGAATGTTCTGTATTTATTGACAATAATAATTTAAGGGACATTATTTAAGTAAATCCACGTAAAATAACTTGAGAAGTTGCAAAAGAGTTCAATGGTAATTGTTCAACAATTATTCGACGTTTCAACCAAGTCTTTAAATTCAATATTTAAGAACTGCAATTATTTTTGGACGATACTAATATTATGTGAAAAAGATTTGCGGTTAAACCATTGTCCGAAAGGCTATAATTTTGTATATTATTATTGATCATTTTTATTGTAATTATACAATTATTATTAATATTATTATTATTATTGTTATTATTATTATTAATATTATTATTAATATTATTATTATTATTATTATTATTATTATTATTAATATTATTTATGTATTATTATATTATTATTGTATTCTATATATTTGTTTATCATTCGAGATATCTTATCTCGTTGGAAAAGATAATTGTAATAATTACGGTTCATTAATATTATTGTAATTATTGCGAAAGATTTTTTTCTTCTTATTCATTATATCATACTTATTATTATTACTATTGTATTACTGGTCACCATTTACTATTACCGTATATTATTACTTTATTTTTATGTTATAATTATTATTTTTATAATTATATAATTACTCTAATAATAATTATTATTAATTTGTTAATTTTAATAACTGCGAACTATTTTAAAGAAGAACGTAAGAACCTTTCTGTGAAATCTATTCGAAATTTTCACTCTTTGTTTCTCTCTTGTTTTTCTCTTTTTTATGGTTGTAGTTTTTCTTTCAATGAGATAAATTTCAAGATTTTATCGAAAATTTCTCGTTAATTTCGTTAGGGTGAAATGAATTCGTCTTTCTGTTCTCACTTCACCTTGTCTCTTTCTCTCTCTCTCTCTCTCTTTCACGTAGTATCATTTTTAGTCGATTTTATTTCGATTTTTTCCAAGATCTTGCAACTTTTGGATATTAACGAGGGTATGTCTGTTAGCCGCAGGCACGATTGTGTATAGAAAGTGTGCGTGCATGTGTATTTGAGAGAGGGAAAGAGGGAGAGAAAGAGAGAAAGAGAAAGAGAGAGAGAGAGAGAGATAGAGAAAACCAACGTTTTGCAACAAAACGCGAATTCATCTTCCGTTAGTGACGCGTAACAAAAATTCGATACGGGCGACCTGTCCGTAGAAAAAAAAAAACGTTTTTTTTCGGTACTGGTTTCTTTTTTTTTGTTGGTCGAAGCTCACCGAGTATAAATTCGCGCTCGAGCGAGCGCGCGCGTGCATGCAATCGCGTTTATTAACGAGGTAGAAGGAGAATTTAAAAAACATAGATGTGTCCAACCAGGGGATGGTGAATGTGTATACTATATAGATAGATATATATATATATATATATATAAAATATAGAAAAAATGGGCTAGAGTAATAATGAAGAAAAATATGATGAAATGCAACAATCCTTTCGATTATTAGCTAAGATATTTATTAATATATTATTACGTATTACTTATATTGTTTTCGATAAAATTCTTGTCATTTCAGTGGTACGAGTATTTTTCTCAATTTTTTCCATCCACTCAAAGATAGTCAACATCGATTCTTTTATTTTTGTTTTTTTCGTTCATAGATACACACGAGTAAACATAGTCAATTTTATCCTTCGTATCTTTCTTCGTTTCGTTCTCTCTCTATATATTGTATATATATATATATATATATATTTTCTCGTCAGCCATGTTAGCGTGTTCTTTTCTTTGTAAATTCTCTTGGAAAGGGTTGCTGCCTTTAGCTTGTCCTTTCGTCGTTAAGACAGGTTCGCGTAAGAAACTTGCTCTAAGATTGCGAATTTTTTTAAAAAAATCTCAGGTGTACATTTTGAGTGAGCTGAAAGATCGTCCTTTTTCTTTCTTATTTTTTTTTCTTATTGTAAAGAGAAATGTTTTTTTTTAATCGTTTTTTTCTTTTTTTTAAATTTAATCGACAACGATCTCAGAATAAAACGCGCTCGTTGATCTTCCGGACACGTGTAATTCCATTAGACCGTCCCGTTCACTTCGACGTGTAAATCCGATGATAAGTATTTTGAAGGAGTACGAATAAAGTATGCTAAATTATGCAATGCATGTAGGAATGCGAAGTAATCTCTCGCATGATGAGCAAGACCGTGAGCCAGACGTTTCGTGTAACAATGCGCGCGCGTTCACTCAATGTATCTACCTACATACCTTGATAATATGATTCTAATCCTTTGAAATAGCCGTTTATGAATTTTCCTAAAACATTATATATTTTAGTATTTCGTTAATATTCTCTTACCTGTGTCACCGAGAGTTGAAAATTTAATAAATGTTTTGTGATAAAAACAAAAAAAGAAATAAGAATAATCGTTATCTAGTTTTTCGGTCTTGCTACAATTGATATACCGTAATGCGGGTCCGGAAAATGCAAGTTGTTAAAAAAGAAAAAAAGAAAGGTAGTTTCATGTGGGACTAGATTTCTTGTGAAAGAGTTTAGTATTTGAAAAATGAATGTCTCTCTCTCTCTCACATATAGCGTGGGCAACTGGTCTCTCTCTCTCTCTCTCTCTCTCTTTTTCTTTCTCTTTCTCTAGGCACAGGAGGGACTTATGGTGGATAAGAGGAGGAGGAGGAGGAGAAGGAGGTGGTGAGGGTATATCGGAGAAAACCGGCGGAACGGGACGTCGTTAAATCCGTCGTCTCCCCCTAATAAACAAACTTCTCTCGGTTCTCTTCTTAGCTTCCCTCGATTACGTAAGATTTGCCACAAAACAGCGAGGCGCAAGTTCATTAAAACGTTACGTTGGCGATGTCGACGTAACGCCACAGCGCGCAGGTGGATTACGCGGCTTTATTATCCCTATACTGACTTGAGTTTGTGCTCGTGCACGATTATTTGCTCACTTTGCCACGCATAGGTGTATATAGCTCTCTTATCTTTCTACCGAAGAGCTTCGATTGGTCATGTCTTTTTTTTTTTTTTCTTTTTCCTTGTTCCTTCGTATATATATTTCTTTTTTTTTTCTGTTTTTCTCATCGATCGATTAGAACTACGTCTTCGTAGAATATTAACGAGTTTTCGTCAGAGTGTGTTCGGTAAGCGTTTCTCGTACGTAGATACGCGGAAAAATTTCTCACCCGTTATTTCCTTCTTGGCACCTTTAATTAATGAGAAAAACTTAACCAACGAGGATAATATTTGTGGTTCGTTGTGATTAAAGTATCAAAGAAAATAGTTTTCTTTTGATTGTGCTTAAAAAAAACAAGTATGAACTGTCTAATGAAATAGATATATATATATATGATACGTTGCAAAATCTAATGGGAATTTTAACGAGAAATCATTTTCGATAAATGAAGATATTTAGTAGAATTTCTTGTTACTTAAAATACAGACACAGACAAAGAGACAGAGAGACAGAGAAAGAAAAGAAAAATGCGATCGACTATCGGAAAGAAAGCGTTCGTTGCGCCAATTGAAATTCCGTTCGTTAATTCTCGTTCGTTCTTAATACTCGCGAGTAGTCTATTTGTTGTTTCATTTGGGACGATATATTACAAGAGATATATATTTTGTTAATCGTGTGTCTCTCGGTAACTCACTAAGTACTCTTTTTTGTTTAGGTGTGTAGATTTCGATCGAATGGAGACGATGCACGGCCGGGATATGAGATTTTGTTGATACCGCTTGTGTTTCAACGACGTTTCAACGAGAGAAGAAATGTTTTGAGAGTGTTCGAGTGTTTTGTATCGGAGGATGGACAATGAGTTTTGGCGCAACGGAGAGAACGTTACTTTTCGGCGGTATACGATCGATATAAATTTTATTCTTCTTCTATTATTTTATTTTTTAACGAAAATGATGTGTACATACAAAGAAAAAGAAAAAAAAGAAAAAACACCACATAGACAGTAGAGAAGGCGGTTCGTACTGTTAGAAAATCGAAGGACCAGAATTTTTATTTGTACAAACGATCTATATGATCCAAAATAACGAAAGATCGAATTTATTTAAAGAATCTTAATAAAACACTTCGATTTTCTTTGACAATCGTTTTGAAGTGCAGTACGCGTGCGTGATTTTTGCCGACGACGCACGGTGCAAATGATAGGGGCGACATGTAAAAACGAGATACTTATGGGATTACAATCTAATACACGAAAAGAAAAACAAAAGAAGAATGACACGCATCTGTAAACAATACCTACCCTCTCCCTTCTTTCATTGTATATTATTATTATACATTAATTAATTATTAACGATAAACAAAAAAAAAAAAATAATATTGAAATTTGGCGAGTGGTGTCGACCACTGATTTTGTTAGAACGTCGGAAGCTAAATTACTACTGAATTTTAATTAAATAAACAACATTGAAAGTAAATACAAGAGAAATCTGTCGTTTTGTTTTATCCACACGTTCATTCTATTTCACTCATTTATTCATTTATTCATTTATTTATTCGTTTTTGGGAACATTATGGCTTACCTACCCTATAAAAGATTCTTTATGTGTCAAAGATGATAAAAATAGGTAATAACTTGAAAGAATTTTTACGATGACGTTAAAATCGTATTACGATTTATTCGCGTTTATTCGGTTGTCGGCTCGATCATCGATCGTATATTATTCGAGTGTTGTCAGATTTTCTGATTTCTAAAAACAAACAGGAAATTTATTCGTTGTGCGATCGACGTAATCGATCGACCGATCGATCGATCATGGTGCATGATCTTACGATATGTGGGACGATGTAAAAACTGATAAGATATTACCATACTCGAAGAAAAATTGATTGTATCGATCATGTATTTACCTGCTCTCTTTAAACCTTTTGCGTTATCTTCTAATCGTTAGAAACATTTTTTATCTTCATTGAAAAAACATCTTTTTTATTATTGATTCTCATCTTGTGTTTGAATTTAAGCGAAATTGTTAAGTCCAATTATTTTAATATACAAAAGTAAACTCGTTTTCAAGTTTTTATTTGAATCAACTTAAAAAATAGAGATATAGTGAGTGAGTGAGAGAGAGTTAGAGAGAAAGAGAAAGAAAGAGATAATGAATCGATAGGAAAGATCGAATTGGCGGAAGAGGGTGTGCATCGATAAACCGCATACTCTTGGGTAGTATCGTAGTCGCCTCGAATTTCGATATCGTTCACGATCTCGTATTCCAGTGGCGATCTTGGTCGATCGATCGTTAGGGGTGTTACCACGGAATGGTGTCGCGTTACGTTCGCACCGCCTACCTTTGAAGCGTTAGCATGATGGTGTGAATTTACTGAGCTACTTAAAAATAATATATATTCCAGTAGTAGGTATAATATAATCAAAATCGGACTTCCTTTTTTCTTTTCTTGTCTTTTCTTTTCTTTTCTTTCCTTTTTACAAAGTTTAAGTAAATATTTTCGATTTAATTAATAAAGCAATGTTACAAATTAATTGACGTAACAACTCAACTGAAAAAGAAAACGATGGGGAAAAATAGGGGAAAAAAAAGATAAAGAGAGAGAGAGAGAGAGAGAGAGAGAGGGACGGAGAATAAAAAAAGCGCGCGATACCAGGTGCCAGGCAGGAAATCGTCGGATGGTTTCACCTCGTCGGTGCGTGACACGCGCGAACAATGAGTACCGTTTGAAAAGGGGGTGAAACGCGCCGTAGGTGTTAGAGAGAGAGAAAGAGAGAGAGAGAGTCAGAGGGGGGAGAAAGAGAGGAGAGAGAAAAAGAGGAGAGGGTATGTAGAGGAGATAACGAGGAGTCGTCGAGAAGAGAGGGAAAATCCGAGCGAGGGTGAAACAGCGCAAGCGTCGATCAACCACCACTGCCATCGCAACCCTCCCTGTTGCGCATGCGCTTTGAAATCTCCTTTGACCTCTTCGGACCTCCTCCTTCTCCTCTCCCTTCGCGATGCAATGTTCGCCGTCATTTCGTTCGAGTATTAGGTACTACATAGGTAAATTTCTTTTTTGTTTTGTTATAAATTAGAAAAGTGTTACCTAGATCAATCGGAGATAAATACATAAGATCAACTTCTAATCATATTAGGGGTCTTTTCATTCTGTGCATTAATTCAAGTACGTTGAAAACGCTTTATTAGAAGGGATTTCGTTAATCTCTGGCTATTCTTCAAGGAAGTCGTCGATTAGACCTGATAATCTCAAGATGGAGAAAGAAAGAGAGAGAGAGAGAGAGAGAGAGAGAGAGAGACAACGATAGTCGTTTTAACACGTTTTGAATTTTCCTACGGAACTGGCAAATCTTTCAAGGTATATACTAGTCTCGTCGACATTCCGTTGGCGCATTAGCGAGGCGCGAACAGATCCTGACATAGGCGCATTGATTTAATGACTGATGCCCACACTAAGATCTTCCTCGTCGTCGTCGTCGTGGTCGTCATTCTGAATGCAAGAGTAAGAGAAAGATAAAGAGAGAGAGAGGAGAGAGCAGGTTGAGAAGTATAAGCGGACGTATACCTACGTGCATACGCGCCACTTGCCGCACGCGTGTGCGGAGGAAACAATTGAACTCCATCCGTCCTCTTCTCCTAACTCTCTCTTTCTCTCTCTCTCTTTCTACAGCGCTTTTTAGTTCTCTAACTCTCTTCATCACACTCTCTTTCTCTCTTTCTCTCTCTCTCTTTCTCTCGTACTCTCCGCGGTTGAAGCTTAATAAGCACCGCTACCTACATTCCATTTCCGGTGGGCTGACGTCACTTGACAATCCGGCTACGGAGAGCTCATCAAAAGCCACGTACGAGTCGCGAGTCTGACTCGTTTCACGGTGTTACCTACGCCTCTTCGACTCTCTTTCTTACTATTTTTTTTTTCTTTTCTTTTTCTTGTTTCCTTCCTTTTCGAGGCTCGAGAGAGTTAAACTTTCTTCAAGGTTGACCGACCCCCTAAGTCTATACCTTTCATTCTTTTTTTCTTTTATCTTTTTTACGAATAGATAGAAATTTGTTCGAAAATAGTTTTATAAGATACGTGCTTATAAGAAAAGAAGAAAAAAAAAAAGAAAGAAAGAAAGACCAAGTTTCTTCATCATTTTCTATACGATTTCACGAAAAATCACGTATATGTATTGTGTATAGTAAAAGAGATAGAGATAGAGAGAGAGAAAGAGAAAAAGAAACGGCTCAGCATGCCACCGTTCGTAGTCGTTGTTCGAGTAGCAGCAGCAACGGCAACACAAGCACCAACAACAGCAGCAGCAGCACCAGCAGCAGCACCAGCAACATAAGCAGGTAGGCCTTGAACGAGTCCGGAGTCAAGCGCGCGCGCACGATCTCCTCTATATCTACGAGTACATAGATACGGTCAACTTTTTCCCCACTCTATGTCTTTCTCTCTTTCTCTTTCTCTCTCTTTCTCTTTCTTTCTCTCTTTTTCTTTCTCTAGAAACGTTGCCACCATCGGCCAAAAGACAGATAAATAAGTCAGCTATGGCATTGGCTAAGTAAACGAGCCTACGCGAGTTCGCGTTCGTGAAACGTACACCTGTAAGTCCTCGTGTCTCTCTTACACTCTCTTATTCTCTCTCTCTCTCTCTCTTTTTCTTTTTTTTTTTTCTTTTTTTTTTTTTTCATCGTGGCTCTTGCTGCTACGAGTTAGCGTGGGCGTGTTAGGAGAGGAGGAGAATCTCGTCGATATATACGAGCCAACTCGTTTATACGTTCCTTCCTTCCTTCGTTCTTTCATTCTTTCGTTCTTTCATTCTTTCTTTCGTTCGTTCGTTCGTTCTTTCATTTGTTCGTTCGTTCGTTCGTTCGTTCGTTCTTTCCTTCTTTCCTTCGTCACACACGTTCACTTGCTTATTTGTGTGCGAAAAGTTCTTCTGGCTATGTTTATGCTCGACACAACTCGTATGCTGTACAACCCGTAGAATAAAGATCGAGCTAAGCACTTTACGTTTTAGGTAGTCGAGATCGTGTCAAGATCTGCCAACACAGTTCTTCCCTAACTTTACGTCTCAAGATAAAGATATGGCGTCTTTCCTATTCCTTATCTTTTTTCTTTTTATTTTTCTCCTTTTTCCTCTCTCTCTCTCTCTCTCTCTCTCTTCATCTTCATCTTTGTGTTTTTCTATCTTTTTTTTTTTTTTTCTAACAATTATTTTCTTTTTTAAATATTATTTCATTTAAAGCCACGATGACCATTTGTTTCACACAATCCGCAATGAACGTCGCATGCGGTGCTGAGATATACGCGACCGAGGCTACTGACGATCGGCCGCACGCCTCCTTACTCACTTATAAAGTTAATTGAG